ACCGCGCTGAGCCGACAAACAGCTGATCGGCTCAGCGCGGCAGCCATTTAAATTTAAATGAAGCGGTGATTATTTAAATCGCTGCTTCATTTTCCTATGCCGGGTAGTCTATTCTACATGCCTCTGTTGCCAGGGGCACGTAGTCTAGACATACCCAAAGTCACAGTCTTCATTGGTGAGTACAGTATGTTAAATGTATACTGTATGTCTATAATGTGTTTTGTCTGGCAAAATTCCCTAAAATCTATCCTATTTACATTAATTGTTATGAGGAAATTGGATTCGCTTAACAACATTTTGCCTAAAGTTGCACTTTTCAGGAACATAGCTACAATATTAAGCAAGGAGTTATTGTACTTACACACACTCACAAAATAAATAGAAGTCTGTTTTTTCTTCTTTGAAACTTAAGACATTTTTACAGGCCAATAGTTTTGCCACTCTTGTTAACGGGTGCAAGCTATATAAGACATGTTTTACTTACCGGCAGTGGTTCTACATAAAGGATAAGAAAATGGAGCGACATGGACAAACAAATAGAACCCAGCAGCCAGATATTCTCCCAGGGAGGCATCCTTAGTAAGGACTGGTTTTCAGATAAACTGTAACAAAAACAATGCAAACATAAAAAGTCTCAAAAGGGGTAGCCGTATTAGTCTATACTGTAAAAACGAGTAGTCTCTGGCATCTTTAATGAAAATATATATAGGATCAAGAGCTTTTGTGGGCAAAACCCACTTCTTCAGATGAGCTGGAATGCATACTTAAAACATCACAAAAGGATATTCAGTAATGCTTTGTTTACACTACAAATTTTTGATGTTGAAACCTGCCTTTTGGAGACAAAACAGTGAAAGCAAACACACTGCAATGGGACTTTTGCCCAGGGAGAGGAGGTGTCAGGGGATGGGAGAGTGAATGCCCATTTTCCACAACAAATAGACTTTCCACCCCTAAAAGAGAGACAATAAGAGACTCTGCTGTTTGTTTTCTTGACAGAGCTGGCTTCTTCCAGTATCCCACAATGTCTGCTTGGATAGCTTTGATCTCTGCTGCCCTGCAGGCATGCCTCAATCCCCTTTCAAAGCTGGGGAAAGGGAAGGAAGCATGTGTTAGCTGAGTGAGCTGCTCCTTTTGGGGGACAAAGAGCAAATCATTGGAATGCTGTTCTTCCAGGCTCTAGGAACATAGCAGCAGGCAACTGCAGTTGCAGGGAGAGGACAGGCTGCAGTGCTGCTTTGACATTCCTCAGCACAGGGCTACCAGAGCTCCTCATGATGCAGCTCCTGGCAGCAATAAGGCTGTGGGAGAAATGAGGGGGAAATCCCAAGATGTGCAGGGATCAGCTCTACCTTCCCACAATATGGCACTGTCACATTAAGGCACTGTGGCATACACCAGGTAGGCAGGCAAGCTGGATCATTCCTGGCTCATGCCAGGGCCCAGCAGCTAGCCCTGCTGTGGCTCTACATTTTAAGTATTTTGGGAGCCAAAGCTAGGGTAGCTGCTGGACCAAGGGGGAGCAGGATCTGAGCCAGCCTGTGTGCTGGCTCCCAAAATACTTTACCAGCTACATGCAACTCTGCATTTAGAGTTAACCAATAAGCATTTGCTTATTGGTTAACTGTTTAATCAGATACCCTATTACGTCCCTAGTATGGGCATAATTTTATACAAATAGAGCAAGTGTGAGACCATCAGAGATTTTTGCTGTGTCAACTTTTGGTTGTCAACATAAGTTTTATTGACAAAACTTGTCAGATTAGACATACCCCAAGACATTTTAGGCACCGTACCACTCTATATCCTATGCCTTACAAGGAAAGAGTATTTAATAACAAGACAGTTAGGGGGCTGCTGACACTTAGTAACTCTTGTTTGGAGTCTGAAAGTCTGTTTTTATTTAATACAGCAACTAGTTTCATTAAAAAGATGTTATGCAGTGCTACTAAACTCTTCTTAGAACAGTTTATTAGACTAATGGTGTATAATAGCAATACACTAATATACTTCAAAGAGCAAATACAGTTATTCTGCTTTGAGTATTAAACCACATTTAAAATAATAAATTAGTGTACATCTTAAATCAGTTTTTAGTGCAGGTTCAATCTATGTAAGGTTCAGTCCATGTAAGATCTCAGATGTAGAGTATTTTAAATGTAGAGCTAATGCACCATGCCTTAATTTTCAAGTTTTTAAAAAAACGTAACTGACCTCCAATCTATATTTCTTCAAATACCCTTGGCATATTGTGCTATTTAGATTTCCATTTATAATTTAATATTAATTAGCTGAGGCATCTCCCTTAGGGCAGGAAAAACTATTTTCCATTTATTTAACAGTCTTATTTTAGGCCTCCTTGATATCACTTTAAAGCAGAAGTATGAGGGATAATCTGATTGATGAGGCTTACACAGTGGAAAATATCCTAGCAGTCTAATAACAAAGTCCCAAGAGTAAACTGAAGGATTTAAAGTGATGTCTCCTTGTTTATAGCATGAGATCTTAAATGTTATCTAGGAAAAACAACCCTTTGGCCTTCTATATAAAAACTGAATTCACCGTTGCATTATTTATTACTTGAACTGAAAATGCATTCAGAAAGGACAACTTCATTCTTTTAGCTTTTTACTTCAGACACACTAACCTGTTGAGAGCATTACACATCTCTATGGTGACCAGAACAGAAAGTGCCATTGTCATTGGATATGGCGACTCAAAGACTACACAGTCTACATCTGTGAAGTCTGGGTTGTCCTCATTGCACTGCAGGAAGTGACTCTACAACAGAATAAAGCATGCACCTCATTATTTCAATGACGATTATTTATTTACAAAAAAAATTGAAGTAAATCTTAGTCCAGCATTATGATAAAAGCTTGTGTCTAGAGAGGCCAACATCAGGAAGAGTTACTTTTGACTACTTAATCTCAGATTTCAACAATTCACGTTATAATTTGATATGTATAGAAAAATGGTCCTTCAAAAACAGTTTAAAGAAAGTCTTTGGTATTCTATTAAATCTGAATAAGCAGATTTAATGCAAGTAAAAATGGTCGTTCTACAGCTGTTCTTTGAAATGAAAATGTAGAGCATAAAGTAAGTAGCAACATATTATATTACACTTGGTAGGAGTTTATATATTTTTGCAGGCTTTCTAAAGTAAATTAAATGGAATACCAGCTGGTAATAGGTAACTCTTGGGCCACCATCAGCAGCAATGAACCACCAAGCAGCAGCACCCACTGTCGCAGCTCCAACATAGCCTTAAAGAAAAAAAGATACAATTTTATTTTTCTATATCATGAATAGTATATATGACAGAGTTTTGTTAAACTTCCTTTACCACCAGTTGGGCGCACACATATAATGTAACCTGTGCCCATTTCCTGTAGAGAGGATCTGCTTTTAAATTGCCAAGTCACCATAATTGGTATCTGTCCAACTGTATAGCTCTCGTGTGTTTGTTATAATTTGGGGCATACACAGAATTAAACCATGGTTATATGGCTCTGGAAAGGGATCAATAAACACATGAATCTGTTTAGCAGACAATACATCCTAACTTCTCACTTTCTAATACAAATATGAGTAATCTAACTGTTCTGAAGAGACAAAGTGCAAATGTGAATGTGCTGCAGAACAGTTTTGTTAAAATTTTGACGGACTGAGTCAAAACCTTTATCATTTGCTGATTAAAAGAAGGTTCTATTTAGCAGGTGGATAGCCACCTGCTCCAGACAGATTTGGATTCATCAACAGGTATCCTGAATTTCTCAAACTTTATATTATAAAAGGTTTAAGTTAGAAACAGCAATAACCACTGAAATAACAGTGGTAAGGAGCACACCCATGCATTGCTGGTAAGACTTAGGCCTGATACTGCCAAGACTTAGGCCATATCTTCACTACTTGAAAGAGTGATACCAACGCAATCGATCTTCCAGAGTTAGATTTAGTGGGCTTATTTAAGACCCACTAAACTGAATTCAGAGGGTGCACTTGTTAGTGCTGGCACTTCTGCTCCTGCTGAGGAGTAAGGGAAGTTAATGGGAACATTTTCTCCCACCAACCTCCCGCTGTGGAGACTGCGTGGAAACTCAAATTAAGGTGTGTCAACTCCAGCTACATGTATCTTAATTTGATCTTCCCCCATAGTGTAGACTTGGGGTTGATGAGAGCAATATGATTACAGGAGGTGTACTGAAAATATTGGTACAGCTATTAGATGCAATGATAAAAAGTGACTGTCTTGAACCAAGATTAAAAGGAGTGTGCCAGTTCAGCAGAACACTGCTAGCCTTCAAGGCCCTTAAACATAACTGAAGACCATCAGTGACTTCTAAATCAAGTTTCTTTAAGTCATTCTACATGAATAAATAGTTACAAATAAAAGGAGTGATACTCACATCCAATAGTGAGGTAACGGAAGAAGAGCCACCCACTGATCAGAGGCTCTTTAGGATTACGCGGTGGTTTATCCATGATGTCTAAATCAGGAGGATTGAAGCCCAGAGCAGTAGCAGGGAGACCATCAGTTACAAGATTTACCCATAACAGCTGGACAGGTATTAACGCTTCAGGAAAACCCAGAGCAGCAGTCAAGAAGATACTACAAAAAGAACAAGTACAAAATTGCCCAGGGCCATGTTAAATCAAACACATTATAAATAAACTAATAATAGATTAGTAGTTAAATAACTGTGCCTTAACTGGCAAGGGAAATTTATGCTAAGTCTTGTTGCAACATCTATTTAATATTGGGAGCTAAATGTACAGGCCAATTTATAGCCAGCAATTACAACAACAACATTTAAAGTTCTGAAGTAGGTACAGAAACGGGATGTAAGAGATCTGGGCTTTATTCCTCTGCCATCAACTCACTCTGTAGTCTTGAGAAAGGAGTCACTCCTTTGTAAGACTTCCCATGTGTCTTTTATAGGAGTCTTGCCAGAATGAAGCATTAAGGACCTATATTAGTGAACACTATAGTCTCAAAATTAGAATTTGGGAAAAAATCATTGTTTCTTTGAAACAGAACTGGAAAGGTCCTTGAGAAGTCATCTAGTCCAGTCCCCTGCAGTCATGGCATGACTAAGTATTATCTAGAAGATCTGACAGCAGATTAGACCTACATCTCTTAATGTCTAATGATGGTGGTTCCATAATCTCCCTAGGCAATTCATTGCAGTGCTTAACCACCTTGACAAAGTTTTTTCCAATGTCTAACCTAAGCCTCCCCATCCAAAAACTTTGTAAGTGTACTTTCTTCTAAACCATTATCTAAATCACTGATGAAGATCAGAACTGCTCGGCATGCAACCCCACTTGCAAACCCCTCTGGGAATAGTTTTCCACCCATCTTATAGTGGCTTCATCTAGACTGCATTTCCCTAATTTAGTTATGAGGTCATGCGAGACAGTATCAAAAGCTTTAGTAAAGTAAAGCTATACCATGTCTACTGCTTCCCCCATCCAGGAGGGGGAATATTCCCATGTCAAACAAAGCTATCAAGTTGATTTGACATGATTTGTTCTTGACAAATGCATGCTTTACTTATCACCTTATCTTCTAGATGTCTGCAAATTGTTTAATTATTTGTTCCACTATATTTCTGGGTACAGAAGAAGTTAAGCTGCCTGGTCTGTAGTTCCTGGATTGTCCTTATTTCCCTTTTTAAATATATCTTAAGACATGCTTTGTGAATAATGTTTACTACAGCATTGCCATTTATTAGGAAAAATTCCTGAAAAGTGCCTAGTGCTGCTAAATGCTGGAGGCCCCTTTGACAGCACTGTAGCATATCTGACCCTCTGCAACCCAACAGCAAGGGGTTAAATGAGCTAAAGTAAAAAACAGCAACCACATTCCAAGTATTGTGCTCTTTTACTTACCCAACAGGACCACCTGCTTTTTTAAAAAGATCACGCCCAACCCTGACTCCTGGAAAAAAAAAAAAAAACCCACACACATCCTGCACTGCAGGACCTGAGCAACACCAGGTAAGTCTTCTAGTTTGTTTATGGTCATCTTTTGTAATTTGGCCCCATTTCTACTTTTGTAGGACTCTTATTTTTAAATCTTTCAAGAGCTCCTGGTTAAGCCAGAGAGATTTCTTGTTATACTTCCTATTTTCCTACAGTGGAATTGTTTGCTCTTGTACCTTTAATAATGTTTCTCTGAAAAACTGCCAACTGTCTTCAATTGTTTTCCTTTAGACTTACTTCCCATAGGATCTTACCCACTAACTCCCCAAGATTGCTAAAGTCTGCCTTCTTGAAATCCATTTTCTTTATTTTGCTATTGTCTTTCCTACCATTCCTTAGAAGCACAAGCTATCATTTTATGATCACTTTCACCCAAGATGTCTTTCACTCAAATTCTCAACCAGTCACTATTTGTCAAAATCCATCTGTAACAGTCTTCCGCCCCAATAGCTTTCTCCACCTTCTGAAATGAAGTGTTATTTTTCCAACAGTTATCTAGGTAGGTGAAGTACGGATAAACCGCCAAGTCCTGTGCTTTGGATGATTTTACTAGCTGTTTAAAGAAAGCCTCATCCAATTCTTCCAGGGTAAGTGTCTGTCTCTTACTTCCATCTCAAACGCAGTCCAAATATATGTATTTAACATCTGAACAGAAATTTCTCTGAAAAGTTTCTTAAAACTTACTGAACATATAAGTAATCTCCTAAAGTGCTGATCTCCTAAAATTATTACTTTTAACAAACTTCTAATATTACCAGATTTTTGGAGAACTGAAGTTAAAATGATCTACTTCTATTACACATGCAAAATGGAAATCTTACCAAACTAACCCAAATCTTATCACTTCTGAAACTTACCAAACAACTTCTCCAACATTTGAAGAGATGAGATAACGGATGAACTGTTTCATGTTGTTGTAGATTGCACGCCCTTCTTCCACAGCAGCTACGATGGTTGAGAAGTTGTCGTCAGCTAAAACCATTTCAGAAGCAGTTTTAGCTACTGCAGTGCCTGACCCCATAGCAATCCCAATTTCTGCTTTCTTCAGTGCAGGGGCATCATTTACACCATCACCAGTCTACAATACAAAGTATCAGAAAACCTGAGAACTTGTATATAGAGATTAGAGAGGATTTTACATAGAGGCAAAAATTGAAAGAGGGTGAGAAAAGAGGTGCAGAATTGAGATGGAGCTTTAAGGTTAAGGAAAGGAAGTTTAAACTTGAACTGAAACACACAGAAAATGATTTGAGTAGCAACCGTCTATTTCCAATTTTTTTGTGATTACACCTATAATCAGTGTGTAAACATTACAACACACACACACACAGTAACTTTAAAAACGAGTGGTCCTATGGCACCTTAGAGATGAACAAATATATTAACTTTTGTGGGTGAAACAGTTCATTAAATGAGTTCGGAACCTGGGATATAAGTATATCCAGAGCTTGACAAATATAATCTACTCACCTGTGGCGAGTAGACAACAGCCCGGAAGAGCCGGGTTCGGGCGATCTGCACAGATCGCCGGACAGAGCCCTGTGTATAACACAACTTATTTTCCGGTTAATTGTAGGACCAGTGTTAATGAAGCTAATTAAGTCAGGCTAGATGTGTCTTATTCTAAGGATGTTAATTATCATGTAATTGACTAATAGAATAGTTGATGTATTTAGGGCTGTTACACTTCAAAGACAAACGTGCCAGCCTGGGGTCAGCTGAGGGTCCCCAGCTGATTCTGGGCTCCCCGTGGCACTGCCACTTTGAAATGCTGCAAGAAGCCTAACACTGGGATGGCTCCCTGCACCACTTCCACACAGAGCCTGGGATCAGCAGGGGAGTTCCCAGCTGATCTCGGGCTCCATGCGACGCTGCCACTTTGAAATGCTGCAAGAAGCCGGATGCATTCAAAGTGGCAGCGCCGCACAGAGCAGCTGACCCCAGGCTCCGTGACAGAGGCAGCAAGGGGGGAGAGGGAGAAATGACAAGTCGACTATCCGATAAGCATTTGCTTATTGGATAGCTGATTAGTCCTAACATCCTTATCTCATTCATAGCATTTGATGTAGAAATGTGAGTAAGGAGGAGAAATTGCCTTTGGTCCTACAAGTAATAACTACTTTTGCTGTTATTATGCCCTAGATTTCGTAATTTTCATTTCAACTCATCTGGAGAAAGGTTTTATACCACAAAAGCTGATAACTTAATATATTTGTTAGTCTCTAAGGTGCCATAGGACTACTCCTTTTTAAAGTTACAGACTGACACAGCTACCCCTCAGACTTTTTACAATGTAACGAGTTAAGCCTTTGACTGCTGAATTGTGAGGAAACTGGATTCAAAAGAAACCTCTCCAGTTACTCCACCCAAACATCCACAGTGAAGGGGACCATTACATGATAATCATTGTTTGTCTAACAAAATTGTTTCAGAAGTCAGCTATTTTAATTTTTCAGGTCATATACTTAAAACAAAAGACAGTTTGCTCATTTTCTACCTTTTACTCTGAAAAGGCTAAAAAATTCTGCCTTAGGGAGATGGCAGTGCCTGTTGACTTATAGCCTCATGTGACCAGAGATGAGCTCAGATGCTTTGGGGAAAAGGAAGGAAAAAGCTCAAATAACATCTTGTCAAGGCTTTGCTGTGATCCAGCAAGGTATTTCTGAGGCTGAACTGTATCCAATTCATACATTATTTACGTGATTTTCTGAGTAATGCACTGCAGTACATACTCCTAAAAAGTGGAAAAAGTGATTGATGAAAGCTATTATTAATTGGGTATAAAATGATTCTAATTATTTACCTATTGTCTTAAGAGAAAAAAAAATACAAGGAAGATCCCTCCAAGGTATTTAATTAAAAAAAAAAAAAAAAAAAAGAAAAAAAAAAAAGAGAGAATGTTATCAGATTCCGCCATTAAGTTGACAGGATATAAAATTTGTTTTAATTTGTAAAATCTCTTGGCCATACAGGCTTCCAATTACTTACCATAGCTGTGATCTCATCGAAAGACTGGAGGAACTCAACAATCTTAGACTTATGGGAAGGCTCTACACGGGCAAAGCAACGAGCATGTAGGCAAGCATCTCTCTGGACAGCTGGGGAAAGTTCATCAAACTCACGTCCAGTAAAGGCTTTTGAAGAAACATCCTCATCTTCTCCAAAGATACCAATACGACGACAGATGGCAACTGCTGTGCCCTTATTGTCACCGGTAATCATAATAACACGAATACCAGCTTTCTTACACAATTTTATAGATGAGGCTACTTCAGTTCTTGGTGGATCAAGCATACCCACACAGCCCACAAAGGTCAAATTGGTCTGAAACAAGAGGACATTGAGCTTTAGCACAAAATATTAAGAGATGCTTTTACTTCTTCGGTAGCATAGTACACAAATAATTTTTCCTCACAAGCCAAAGTAGCTCCAAACATTAGTTTATAAGAAAAAAATGCATTTTCATTTCACAGTATCAAATAATTTTATACAAAATTTAGGCCTCTATAAACTTGCATGCCAGGCCTTGCCAACTTTCCCCTTCTTCCATAGTAGTTTGTTTAAATCTAATACGGCAAGGTTCAGCATGTATGCTAGGCATATCAAGTCAGATTCTTCCCCACTTAACAGACTCTTCCAGACTCATCTCTGTTTTTGAATATTTTCTACCTTCATGGTACTTGACTCATATGTTCACCTCTTACACAATAGTCTGAATCTAGACCACTTGAAAAAGCAGACTACGCATACACTGACAAAGGAGAAAAACTGAAATGGAACTGGGAACATTCGGTCTCTCTAATTCTGACTTTGTGCTAGTGCAGTATGTTGTATTTCAGAATGTGAGGATGCTGCATAATACTGTGAAAAGTCTCAATGAGTTAAGCATGTGGAACAATTTGAAGTGTGGTTCTCCCCTGAGAAGTGACTATATAAATGAATTCTGGGTTTCCAAATGTATTATGCACTCAGTTCACAAGCTATAAGGTGATCTAATTACCAGCCTTGCAGATTCTACCTGCACTCGAGTTAAATTTCTCTCTCTCATGCATACTGGTAGCAAGTGATTCTCCAGACCAACTGATGTGCAACTTCCATTGTCTTAAAAAATGAAGTCCTAGTTATTCATGTAATTGTACTGAAATAAAATGGAGTTGTTCAGCCAGTTGAGCGCAGAATTTTTACTAACAAAAATACAAGAGGAGGGACCGAATCCAGTTTGATCCTCAAGATTCCAAGGTGAGTTTGCAGGACAAGGTATTAGGAAAATTAATTTGAGAAAATAAGATCTTAAAGAAGTAGTCCCTAACCTGTGGTGCTTGTCGTGTGTGCGAGCCACTAGAAGCACTGAGAACAAATAGAAAGGATGTAAACTTTTAGTCCGAGCTCTGCTCAGAGAGTTATATGGAGGGGAAACCATGAAAGAAATCAAGTTTGGTCCCCTGTATAGCATGTACAGTTTGTTGTTGCTAAGCCATTAAGCCAGACCACATCTATTTATTCAGTAAAAGCTTCTAAAGTGTTATATTTCTGTTTTGAAAGACTAACTTGTTGCAAGCATTGCTCTTTACTATTTTGTCTTCTGAAAATTTTTTAACTTAAGCTTAATAAATTTAGCACTTGTACAAAAGAGCTATTGAAACGAAAGAGGGACAAACCTTGTACTAAACTAACCTCATAATTAATAAAGTTTGCAGAATCCTCAAGGTTCATTTCTTCTCTTCTTGGTGGATTGTCATGTGTTGCTAGAGCCAAGCAACGCAATGTGTCTCTACCAGTACCCCACTCTCGAATGACCGTCATGATCTTCTGCTTAATTCCTGTTGTTAATGGTACTTTAGTGCTTCCAACACGAACATGTGTACACCTGTCAAGTACACCTTCAGGAGCACCCTACAGGAACAAAACAAGAAATGAGCAAAGTTGCTTTCCATTACAGAACCATTTAACACCAGATAAGAAAGTACTCCATCTCCAAAACTGATAATACTAGATATATGCAACTAGTCTAGGCACAACTTCAAGAATTATATTGCGTTGTAGCCATTTCAAAACTATACTTCTCACATGCTGAACTTGCCTTAACAAACATCTTGCTCATGGAGGTCCGGCTTGGTTTATTTGGAGTACAGTAGACAGACATAGACTTTCTGTCCCGTGAGAATTCCAGAGTGAATTCTTTCTTCATGAGTTGTTTTATGACCTATGATGGAGACATTAATAGTAACATTGCATTCAGACTGCAACAAACATACATATAATAATATTTACAGTATTGTGGAAGTACTGACCGAATTGCAAACATTTGCACGTTCAATTCTGGAGAGACCTTTTAATTCGGTGTCAAATACATTCATCTTTTCAACCAGGCAGGTGAGTGCAGTCTCCGTAGCTTCTCCAACTTTTTCATACACTCCCTTAGCCTTCAATTCATTAAAAAAAAAAAGGAGTTATTATTACTGCTATAAAAAACTTGGGACTTTGATAGGACAATGAAATTTCAAGTGATACAATGAATGGAAACAATACTTAGATTTTGTTGGCGTTCATAATGAAAAAAACATACTAAAATGAATCCCTCAAAAATATCAGATTTCACCAATTTTTTTTACTCATTTTTAAAGGAAATTTTTTTTCCCCACTTTCCTAATTTGTATCTGCAATTGACTATTTCAGACAGATTCAGGACTAGAAGGAAAGCTTTGCAGCAGCAAAAGCGCTTTCTACATTGTTAAGGAGGAGATAGGTCTGAGACTATTTTGGAAGTCACTCTTTGGACTCAAGTTGCTCAACAATGTCCTTTCCAGCCAAATAAGGAATGGCGTTATTTGGTTCGTAAGAGACTACCTGGTCTCCCTTAACCAGAAGAACAGTGGTTATAATACTGTGCTTTATAAGTGTTTGTGTGGGAAATAGGGATATTAAAATGCAGGTAATTATGTAAATGTGTAACTACTAAAAAAGTCAGTCGTTACATGCACCTCTGGCCAGCTCCCTGGGAGCTGGTACATACTGCTCCCACAAGGAGCCAGCTGCCCCCTTGTGAATTAATGATCTGCTGTCCCCATGCTGCTGCTTGGTTGGAAGCCAGCTCCCCCGGAGCAGGATGAGAGCCTGAGTGTAACCATGAATATTAACCAAGAAACTAAGGCTTATCTGTTAAAGTTTAAACAGTTACACGCTCACATCCCTACTGGGAAATAGAAGATAAAGTCCCACACTCTAAAAGCTTGCTCAAAAACGTGAGCCAACTTCCAAATTTAGGAGAAGATACAAAGTAAAATTATACAAGAACAAACATTTAACTTAATTTTAGTTTCCTCTGGTACTGTAAAACAAAGATGTTACTTACTTCATTGTAATCCAAGGAAGAATCATTACAAAGTGCACAGATCGTTGCTAGTTCTATAAGGCCATCATACTGATGACATTTAACAAGTTTGTCATCTTTATGCCTGTTCAAAAATAAAAAAAATAAAAACTTTAGTGAAAGGTTATCGAGCCAATTAACTACGTACTTAACATTTCACCCAGATACTCCTTTGATAATCCCTCTATATAATGAACCATGCTTTAGTAAAGATTCTAAAGCATGGTTTTCTGAGTTATAAGACATGAGGTTACATAATTTGTACCAAAGTAACATTCTGTTCTGAAAAATAGAAAGCAAAGTTAAAAATGAGAGCACTGTACTTTTAAACTGGATTTTAAATAAGGAGTACGAGTACAAATTTCTTGATTTTACTTTATCCTCCATCAAATGACTCACGTTTTAGTGATATATTTCAATATATGAGTCCTTATGGGAACTATAGCAATATATTTGTTTATTGTTGTTTCTTCCCCACGTCACTCTGTTTAAGATATAATCAACATTTACAGAGCTAAATAAGATAGAGCCATTCTTTGCTTCTAAGAGTGCATAACTTAAGATAGTCAAAGCTGAAAACAACAACAACAGTTGTGCAGCAAAAGTTCAGATAAAAGGTGTGGGAGTATTGATGAAAACAAGTATTGGTAGGATTCTTAGAAGTATTGTTTTAAGGAACAACTTTGAAGGAGAAGACAGGGTACTCCTGAGAAACAGAAAAGGGAGGAGATCTGAAAGGGCTAAAAAAGTGAAAGTAAAAAAGGTGAAACAAAAAACAGGACTATGTAGCAGGTCAAAGATTTTAACAAGATAGTTTATTAGGCGATGAGCTTTTGTGGGCCAGACCCACTTCCACAGATCAAATAGTGGAAGAAAATTGGCACAACCATATATACCAAAGGTTGTGCCAATTTTCTTCCACTATTTGATCTGTGGAAGTGGGTCTGGCCCACAAAAGCTCATCACCTGATAAACCATCTTGTTAGTCTTTAAAGTGCTGCATAGTCCTGTCTTTTTTTTAATTCATTATAGAAAGTGAGAAAAGAGGTGAGTTTGAGAAGGAAATAAGCAAATATAGGAAAAGAGAATGATTATCAGCAAGTTTTTACAATGGCTTTTAGAGGATCTAAACACTTCATATATATTAATGGATTTACCTTTACAAACATTATCTCAATTTAACAGATAAGAAAATAGAGGAACCGAGTTTAAGCGATTATAGGAGGTAGAATAGCAGTCTATAGCAGTGCTGGGAACAGAACACACGTTGGGCTTGGACTCAGTCCGGTCAGTTCTTTAAATCACAAGTCTATGCTCTTTCTAGTTTCCACTAGAGAAATTTCTTCTTCTCCAGGAGTGACCCACTCAAGATTACAGACATTAGCACTCAGTTTCAGAGTAGTAGATGACGATAAGATTTTAAAAATGCAATCTTAACTTCATACATTAGAGCGACATTCCCTCTTCATAATCAGATAATAATGACAGTGGTATTACTTACAGACATCAGCATATCTCAAGGTTAGCATGAAACATTGAGGCATTATGAGAAATGCTGCTAGTACTCTCTTTCTGGTAAGCCAGTGAATACTGGCTACATTCTAAACTGGGTGTGGAAAATAATTTTTAATGGGCGGCCACTCCAAGAATTTGGAAAGTGGTCAATATCACAATTTCATGATATTAATGGATGTGGTGTGGAATCTGGGAGGTAGAGAAGGGAGCTCAGGGTAAAGGACTGGGGTGCAGGATATGGATGTAAGGGAGTATTTGAATAGTCAACTACCCAATAAGCCTATATAAGAACATAAGAACGGCCGTACTGGGTCAGACCAAAGGTCCTTCTAGCCCAGTATCCTGTCTACCGACAGTGGCCAGCACCAGGTGCCCCAGAGAGGGTAGACCAAAGACAATGATCAAGCGATTTGTCTCCTGCCATCTCTCTCCAGCCTCTGAAAAACAGAGGCCAAGGACACCATTTTATCCCCTGGCTAAAAGCCTTTTATGGAGCTAACCTCCATGAAATGATCTAGCTTCTCTTTAAACTATTATAGTCCTAGCCTTCACAGCCTCCTCTGGGCAAGGAGTTCCATAGGTTGACTACATGCTGTGTGAAGAACTACTTTCTTTTATTCGTTTTAAACCTGCTACCCATTGATTTCATTTGGTGTCCTCTAGTTCTTCTATTTAGGGAACTAACAAATAACTTTTCTTTATCGGCCCTCTCCACACCACTTGTGATTTTATATACCTCTATCATATCCCCCCTCAGTCTCCTCTTTTCTAAACTGAAAAGTCCCAGTCTCTTTAACCTCTCTTCATATGGGACCCGTTCCAAACCCCTAATCATTTTAGTTGCCCTTTTCTGAACCCTTTGCAAGGCCAAAATATCTTTTTTGAGGTGAGGAGACCACATCTGTACACAGTATTCAAGATGTGGGCGTACCATAGTTTTATACAGGGGCAGTAAGATATTCTGGGTCTTATTTTCTATCCCTTTCCTAATAATTCCTAGCAACCTATTTGCCTTTTAGACCGCCGCTGCACACTGCGTGGAAGTTTTCAGAGATTACTGGGTAGTTGAGTGAACTATTCTAATTCCCTCCCTCGCTGCCTCTGTATCAAATGCAGAAGGGGGAGAGGGAGCAGAAGCCATTGTTGGGGGGAGCTGGCTAAAAATCCTGTTCCCCCTCCAAGCACGATTTCTGTGGAGCTGCCCATTCCCCCATTCGTTGTTATCTCTATCAGAGGCAGCAGTGGGGAGGGGCAGGAGAGAGGCCCAGAGATTCTGCTGTGCTGAAGCCTGTCTGTGAAGGGTCCCAGCGTGGAGTTGGGACCCCTGCACACAGGGGACTGCTGCCGCCAGCTGGGCAGGCAGCCCAGTTCAGTCCCAGCTTGCACAAGATACAGGACCAAACCCTGCTGCAGCTCTGCAATTTAAAAGGCAGTAGATGCTGATCTCACACCTGGATTGCGCTGGGCTGCCTATCGACTAATCAAGTAGTCGATAAAATTCTATTGACTACTCAGTTAATTACCCACCTCTTAACATCCTAAGTGCAGGATTCTCAAGGGAGTATACGTGCAGGAGAGGAGTCTGATCTATAGGATGGGTATGAGGTTTTGAAGGGGGTTGTGACCTGGACTAGGGATATGAACAACTAGTTGACTATCGGATAAGCAAATGCTTATCAGACAGTCGACAGGCTAGTTGACTAGTCGCTCTCCCCCCCCCCCCCCCTTTCTTTTTCCCTTTTGAAAAGGGGGGGGCAGGTGCG